TGATCCGCCCGTCTCGGCCTCCCAAAGTGCTGGGATTACAGGCGTGAACCACCGCACCTGGCCAAGTCCCCGCTTCTTGAGCCATTGTTAGGTTGGCAAAGTTGAGGCCACGGAGCTGGGACCCGTCCTGCTATTCCTGGCAACACAGTGCCGGCACTATAAGAATAGCTGAGCAGCCGCCAGAGTTCCCACCCAGCCCTGCAGCCCTCCTTTTTATTATTTGCTGACCCCGTAGTCATTTGAGTTTATGATCCTCGTTCTGATTTTCCTTATGTAGCCCCCCTGCTTTGCTGCAGGCTTACTGAGAGCTAGCTTCTAAGAGTGATATCATTTCCATTTTAAAATTCCTGACCTCAGTACTTGTTAAAGGTGTACTCACAAATCTAATTATTCCCTGTCCCATAGGAACTTTTCTAAGCGGGTACATGTTAGACACCTGCTGTTTAGAAGGAATAGGGAAATTCTTAATGTCCTTCTTACATTGTTCCAATACTTTCTTTAAGTTTGTACAAGGATTTAAGGGAGCACTGGGTTTAGCTCTTTCATGACCTCTAGATTTCTTTTCCTCCAACCTTCCTGTTACCCCCCTGATCTCCTTGTCCTCTGCTGTGTGAGATGTATGGGCCAGGGAGCAAGTGTTACGGGATCCCAGGTCTTTTCATTGGGTGAGGGCTCTTTACTAGGCCCTCCTTGCTAGTTCCCTAGGGTGAACACGGGGGTTAATTCACTAATCCAACAAACAGCATAACGCTTCTCCTCTTGTGAGGACAGGGCTGTATCATTCACATAGAGAATTAAAGCTGGCATACCCAATCCTTATTTGAGCTAAACTTAGGCTCAAAGACCAAAGGCTGACTGATGGGCTCTTTAGGCCGGATAAAACAGCAATACTTTATTATTTTTTGTTTCTCCTTATTCCTGGTTCGGGGGTTATTCCCCCAAGCCTGTAACATCCTCCTCAGTGGATATCTGGGGGGGTGCTGGAGGGGGGCTCCTTTCTTTGTTCCCTAGGCCTAGAATTTTTGCTTCCCATTTTCAACTGCTCCCTGTGTCTTAGTTTCCCTGTGTACTCGACCCCCCTTACTGGAGGTCTTTTCGTACCCTGTGAGTCAACTGCTTTTTAGGTCTCCGGCTGTTTCCCTCACGGGAGAACGGAACTGCGGTTTAGGACTCCGCCCTCGCTTCATATCTAAGATGTCTCAGTCACATGCACTCAAACTCCGAAAATGTCCAGCCACCAAGACAGTTCGCAGAGTCCAGTCTTCCTACCTGGGCTCATGCATGAGGTTGCCTGATTGCCGCAGTGCCTGCTTCCCCTTCCCACCCCCCGCCGTGTCACTTTCGTTGTCTCCTGAATAACAGTTTCGAGTTTGTCCATGGCTTCTGTGGGAAGCCGGGACATCCGGACAGAATGGACCACATGTGTCAAGTGGTACGCATATCCCCTTTCAGCCAGAGTCTCACTTCACGCAAGCACAGAGAACCTCATACAGGCCACTAGATTTTGAGAAACAAACTCACTCATCCAAACCCAAAGTATGGACTCAGAGACCCAGAGAACAGCAAAAGTGAGACTTTTAGTGACAGTTTTGCAACATCGGGTGTCTGGAATGCAGGCACACAAGGGACGGTTTCAACAGTGTATTCCCTAGTGCTCAAGTCCTTCCCCCAGTTCCTCATTAGCTGAGTACTATGGGGTTACGATCTTCCCGGACATCATAAATTGGTACTTTGAATAAGACTTTGAGTATGTTCTTTACGTCTTTTTGCTGCATTTTGTTGCAGCCCATAACGCATTGTGATTGTCTCAGGACTCCTTAAACATTTGACTTATGGCCCTAACGGCTGCACCTAGTTGATAAGAAAGGGTACAATTATCTACGCTGCAAGTTAGCCTAAACTAAATTTTTGGTGAGGTGGGGAGGGGGTCGTTGAGGGGACCCCAACCGATAGGCACCTGGCTGGTGCATGAAAGGGAAAGCAAGAAGGAGAGGGGGTGGTGGCTTAGTACATTTTGCTTCTTTATCTCTTTAAATGACCATGTGGGCTGCTTAAACCTATACTGCGGCACATAGAATTGAACATGAACCATCACATGCAGGCTATTTTTTATACTCTTAAGTCCTTCCCAAGCCAGGGCTGAGCCAAGACAATCCACTGTCCAGCTGTGGCCTCCTCCTACTGCAGGTGAGGGGTGGGCAGTAGGGAGGGCCGTGGCACCTGCTCTGTCCCCATCCCGCTCTCTCTGTCTCTCAGGCTGACCAGGGCGCATCCAGGTGGATGAGCTGGGAATCGCTTGCTGATTGCTGAGGGCCTGGATAATCACAATCTCAGAGGGATCAAACAGTAAAGGCGGCTGTGATCTGGTGAGGGGTTAGAAACTGGAGAGGAATCGAGGCAGAGCCTCTAGTCCCTCCCTCTCTGCATCCCTCACCCATGTTTCTCCAGCCATCAGAAGGACACCAAGAAAAAGACCCACGAGGCTGACTGAGGGCCTCTGCATGCGCAGTTCCCTTTGTGGCCTCCCTTGTACCAGGGAGGGTCCTGAGTGCACACGGCCATCCTCTTTCACTTGGCAGCTCCCCATGCGCCTCATCCGAGACCTCTCTCTCAGGGCTGTTGTGTCCTCTGGGCCACTTGAGGCCGTGCTTTTTCCAGATTCCCACCATGTGGCCCCTGCCTCCCTGTGTTTCCTTGCAGATGATATGGACAAGGTGATAAGCGTATGTCCCTGGGCTAT